AGAAATAGGACAAGAAAATTTTTAAAAAACAGCAGAAAACTCTGGAGAGTTAAAGAAATTTTCCATAATAGAGAGCAAACAGGGATGAAAAATAGGTGAAAAAATTTAAAATAAATATAAAGGACCAGTTCAGGAGGGCTAGTATTTGAATAATTAAGGGATTTCAGAGAGAAAAAAAATTTAAAAAATCATTATAGAGGTAGTTCTAGAAAATTTTCTCCAAACTGAAGATGATGAGTTTCATTCTGTGAGGCCACGCCCTGAACAGTCAATGAAAACCGATCCACTTTAAGACACACCAAAGAAATGAAAACCTAAAAGTTTCCAGAGAGAAAGAACAGGGCAGTTATAAAAGACCGGGTAACAGAGTGGCCTTTGCCTTTTCAACAGGAACTAGAAGACGGTGGAGCAAGCCTTCAAAATTCACATGGAAAATTATTCCCAACTTAGAATTCTATACCTACTCAAACTATCAACTAAATGTGAGGCACTTTTAGAAACGCAAGGTCTTTAGAAATGCAAAAGTCTACCTCAGATATCTCCTTTTAGAAAGCTGTATGTAGATGTTCCCCAAAATAATGCAGTGAATCTAGCAAGAGGAAGGCATGAGATCTAGGAAGCGAGGGAGTCGACCCAGGAGGAAAGTTCAGAACAGCACCCAGATGGTGGGAAGGGAACTCCCACAGTGAGAGCTGAGCAGCTGGCCTGGGCATCAACCAGTCTGGGCTGCAGCGGGGAGAAAGCTGCAGGAACTTCAAGAGGAGTAAGTTGGTAGAATACAGTACTGCTATCCAAGGGAGATACATTCCAGGACCCCTAGTGGATGCCTGAAACCTTGGATTATACTGAACCCAACTGCCATTAATCACAACACGTCTGTTCATGCCTTCCACCCCCAAATTTAATGCCTTTTCCATTTTAACTAAGCACTTACCATGCACTGTGGCTGTAATTTGCAGTGTAAGGTACGACAGCAAAACTAGCATGGATTTCTTTTTCTTTCTTCACAATTTCATGTATAGAATATTCAATTTTACTGTAAATCTTAGCAACCTCAGCATGTGATTTTTTTTTTCTTTCCTTATCAAATGGAGAACTTTCACAGCTTCTCTTTGGCATATCCAAATTGCCAGCATCACTCTTCTTGCTCTTTGGGACCATTATGAAGTAAAATAAGGGTTACCCAAACACAAGCACTGCAATACCAAGACAGTTGATCTGATAAGCTAGAGGGTGACTGACTAACCCGCAGTAGCGTCTACAGTACCAGAGAAGGGATGATTCACATCCCGGGCAGGACGGAGCCAGGTAGTCTGAGATTTCATCATGCTACTCATAATGATGGACAATTTAAAACTTACGAATTGTTTATTTCTGGAATTTTCTATTTAATATTTTTGGGCTGCAGTTGACCATGGGGGTAAATGAAACCATGGAAAGTGAAAGCATGAATAAGGGGGAACTGCAGTACTGAATGTGGGTGATCATGTTAAAAGGAGATTTACACAAATGAGGGAAGGTGTGGAGAGAGGAAGAGATGAATACCTAGAAAACTAAACAAGAAATAAAACAATAAGCAAACAATAATAGAAAATATTAATTCCAGAGAAAATGCAAAGTTGTGCAGAAAAAAAATAATCATGGCACATTGTGAACAGCATTTGTTTTGTTATGAGCACATGGAAATCTTTTCAGGATATGACACCAAAAGCATAGGCAACAAGAGAAAAAAATAGATAAATTAGACTACATTGAAATTTTAAAATGTTGTGTATGAAAGTATACAATCAATAGAGTGAAAAGGCTACCCACAAAATGGGAGGAAATATTTGCAAATCATATATCTGCTAAGGGATTAATATCGAGGATATATAAGAATTCCTACAACTCAACAACAAAAAATTAAACCCGATTAAAAAATGGGCAAAAGACTTTAATATTTGACATTTCTCCAAAGACATTGAATATCTTTGGATATTGAATATCCAAAGATATTCAATTGGCCAATAAGCACATAAAAAAATGCTCAGCATCACTAATCGAGGAAATTAAAACCACGATGAAATAAAACCCTCACACCCATTAGGATAGCTATTATATTAAAAATAAACAAAAAATCCAGAAAATAACAAGTGTTGGCAAGGATGTGGAGAAATTGGAACTTTTATGCACTGTTGGGAATGTAAAATGGTACTAGAATTATAGTATTAATCCAGCAATTCCACTTCTGGGTATATTCAAAAGAATTGAAGGTAGGGACTTGAAGAGATATCTGTATACTCATGTTTATATTAGGAACATTATTCACAACAGCCAAGACATGGAACCAACCCAAGAGTCCATTCATGCATAAATGGAGAAACAGAATAGGGGAATATCCATACAATAAAATATTATTCATCTTAAAAAGGAAGAAAATTCTTACACATGCTACAACATGGATGAACCTTGAAAACATTATGCCAAGTCAAATAAACCAGTCACAAAAGGAAAAGCAGTGTATGGTTCCACTTATACGAGGTACCTAGAGTAGTCGGATTCATAGAGCCAGGAAGTAGAATGGTGGTTGTCAGGCACTGGGAGAGGAAGGAATGGGGGTTATTGTTTAATGCATACAGAGTTACAGTTTTGCAAGATAAAAAGTTCTGAAGATGGATGTTGGTGATGGTTGCACAACAGTGTGAATGTACTTAATGCTAGTAAACTACACTTAAAAATGGTTAAGATGGTAAATTTTATGTTATATGTATTTTACCACAATTAAAAAAATGTTTCAAATCACAAAATCCCAATCATCTTGGAAGGATGGGCAGGAGTTGACTCAGTGAGTGTGTGTCTGCATGTGTGTGTGTATGTGTGTGTGTTTGGGGGTGTCGGGGCTGTGAGAGCTAAATCCTCATCTTCATGGCAGGAAGTCAAAAGACAGTGCCTAAAATGGAAAGATCGAGAAATAGAAAGAAGTGTGTTATGTAACGATATGGAGGTAAATACCAAAAGAATCAGCTAGAAGAGCTGACACTGGTCTTCTGGGAAGAGGGAAATGCAGGTGGGGAGTGAACGACTTGAGTTTTTCATAACTAGCCTTGCAGAACAATTTGATTCTTTATGCGAAAATAAAATTTTTATTAAAAAAAAAAAGAAAACTAACCCCAAATAAAAGCAAACAGAAAATTGCTGAGCCTGTCCTTGAAGGCCCTGTGACTCAGGCAATGGGGAACCGGGGCCTGCGCCTTCTCCAGATCACCTTGAGGAACACCTGTCATTATGACTCCTGCCCTCCATGCCTCCGGGAATAAGGGGGGGGCGGGTGTGCACCCTTAGAGGACGCATCTGCATGGGCAGACACCGTTGTTTACTTGAAGAGCTGTACATGTATTTTAATGTATATTGGAAAAATGTAATTAGCATATCAAGCCTGTGATTTCATGGAGATTATTGCTTAGGATGAAGCTACATTTATGAAATGAAAGGATTTAGGGGAAATACTAGGATGACTGTAGAGGAGGTAAGTGGAAATGGAGAAGGTCATTCAAGGGGGCTGGGAATGACTGAAGTCAGGGTGAGAAAGGGAACCTGCACACACTGCTTAACAGAGTCAAAAAGCCCTTAACTATACTGATCACAACCAGGATTTGGTGACAGAACAAGTTAAAATTGGTTAGAACAAAGGATGCAAAGAAATGTTTCATTTCTTGACCTTGCAGCTCATTATGCTTTAATTATAATACACTAGCATGCTAAAAGAAACTCCCACAGACACCAGGATGGTTCAGGGAGGAAACTTATAAAATACAGAAAGGGGAGGGTCCCAGTTCTAAGCAAGCATCGGCCCTTTCCCAAAATTAATGTGAATAGTCCTCCCCTTCATAGCTTATGATTAGGCCATTGCTTAAAGGAAGAAATAAAAAAAACCCACAAGTACTGTTCTCCTCAGCAGGGAGAACTCTGCCTGTGGAGTAGATCTTCTGAATAAAACTTGCTTCCACTTTACACTGTCGGCTCACTCCTGAATTCTTTCTCATGCGAAGCCAAGGACCCAATTAGACTTCAAGTGATTCCCAGCGTTGGGAATCTCTTTCATGCGTCAAGGGGAGACACTGACCTAGTTCAACTCCAAGCGGAGAGAGGAAGAAGGACCCGCTCAGTGTCCTACAATAAAGCAATGGAGGAGGCAGTGCTCCCGAGAGCACGTGGCCAAGAGGCAAGAAACGGAGGCTGGGTTTGTCCAGCTTTTCTACGAACCACCTTCCAAACTCTCAGCTCCTTTGTGTCTTCCTGCATACGATGAAGGGGTTCTGCAGCTAATAGCAAAAATGCTAATGATAATTGTAGATAATCCGTATGAAGTTCTTGTTTACTGTTTACCAGAAACAACAACAGCAGCAATAACAGTAGCAAAGACTTATTTACCACGTGCTGAAAATCCTTCTAAGAACTTTATATATTTAGTTGGCCCTCCATATCTGTGGGTTCCACATCTGTGGATCCAACCAACTGCAGATCAAAAATATTCAGGAAAAAAATTGCATCTGTACTGAACATGTACAGGCTTTTCCCCCCCTTGTCATTGTGTCTTAAACAATACAGTATAACAACTATTTACACAGCATTTACATTGAGTTAGGTATTACGAGTAGTCTAGAGATGATGTAAAGTATACAGGAGATGTGTGGGGTTACATGAAAATGCTCCGCCACTCTATATCAGGGTCTTGAGCATCCATGCATTCCGGTGCCTGAGGGGGTCCTGGAACCAATCCCCCATGGATCCCAAGGGTGGACTCTATTAACTTATTTCACCCTTATAATCTTATGAGACAGCCCCAGTGATTGCCACCTCCTGGGAGTCACACTCCTGTGAAGTCCCTTCCAGCATAAAATAGGGCTGACCTCTGCAACCAATAGGATATTGCTAAAATGAGACAGTGTGACTTCCACAGTTAAGTCATGCAGGACATATGACTTCTTCCTTGCTTTTTCTTTTTGGACCAATCACTCCAGGGAAAGCCAGCAGCTATATCATGTGGACACTCCAGCAGTCCCATGGAGAGATCCACGTGGAGAAAAACTGATTCCTCCTGCCAACAGCCAACGTGGACTTGCCAGCCATGCGAGTGAGCCAACCTGGTCCCTCCAGCCCGTTACGCCTCCAGAGGACTGCAGCCTGGCCAACACCTTGACTGCAACTTCATGAGAGACCCAGAGCTAGAGCCACCCGACTCAGCTGCTCCCAAATTCCTGACCCACAGACACTGTGAGAGACAATAAATGCTTACTGTTGTTTTAAGCTGCTAAATTTTCGGATAATTTGTTATGCAACAATAGATAATCGATAGTATTAGGTTATATTACTGTCCCCATTTTACAGATGGGGAAATTGAAGGACAAAAAGTTCCCATGACTTGCCCCAGATGACACAGGTAGTGAGTGATTTAAACCATGGCAGTTTGGATCTATACAAAGTTCATGTAATGAATTAGAATCTCTATTTCACAGGAGTCAAGACACTCTGCTTGCTCAGAGACAGAAAGAGAGACAGACAGAGACACAAATACAGAGAGACAGTGACAAGGAGAAATGGGCCGTTGGCTCAAGTGAAGGATGGGGCTGCACTTCTGTGAAGCGAAGGGAGCAGCTGTGGAGAGCCCCACTGCCCTTGCAGCTCAGCTGGGACTGGCTCAGGGCTGCTGGGCCCTGGCTCTGGCTGGGCTGGTGACCAGCCTTGGGTGCCTGGGGGTGGGAAGCTGGTGCCTCTGAACAGACCCCTCCCTGGAGCTCTTCTCCCTCTGTGCTGTCACTGTCTGTCCTCCAGACCAGAGGTCCTCAAGGGCAGGGGTAGAGTCTCGTCTGTGTCCCTCGCTAAGCACAGGGCAGCCAGAGCAGGCTGGATGAGCTGTGTGCAGAAGGCTCTCTGGCCTTGGTGTTGGAGAGAATTCGCTTGGTCGCCTCTTCCTTTAACAAGTCATCACTGGTGACACGGTAAGGACTAGGATGACCTAGTTTCTGATTTGAGGAGCTCCCCATTGGATGAAGGATACAACCACAGCCCAGCGTGATCGGAGAGATTAGGACACACAGTGCAGTGGGAACCTGGAGAAGGGGGGAGGATCTCTGTGGGGGAGGCTAGAAGGCTTCCTAGAGGAGGAGGCATTTGAGCTGAGGCCCAAAGGATAAACAGAAGTCAGGCTGGGCATGGTGGCTCACACCTGTAATCCCAACACTTTGAGAGGCTGAGATGGAAAGATAGCTGAGGCCAGGAGTTTGAGACCAACCTGAGCAACAAAGTGAGACCATGTCTCTACAAAAAAAAAATTAAATTAAAATTATCTTGTAGTCCCAAATACTCAAGAGGCTAAGGCAGGAGGATTGCTTGAGCCCAGGAGTTGGAGACTTCAGTGATTGTGTCACTCCAGCATGGGTGACAGAACAAGACCCCATTTTTAAAAATAAATAAATAAAAAAGATAGAGAAGTCAATTCATGCAGGAGTGTTCTAGGCAGAGGGGATAGCCTGGCAAGGCCTGAAGCTCCAGTTCTTGGGCGGCAGGAGGGGAAGCCTCCAAAGGCAGTGGAGGCCAGACATGCATGCTTCGGAGGGACAGGCTGCCATGCTGACAGCTGGTGGAATGGCACTATGGGGAATTCATTGCATTTGGCGTTGGGTTTGGGGATTTTCTTTGGAAACCCAGGGGTAGGCAGGGCTTGTATGCTAGAGTCAGCCCAGACTGGGAAGAGGGGACAGATGAGGACAGGAAGTCACTTGGGCAGCAGAAGCTGTACCAAGACCTCAGTGTCCATTTGGTGTCTTGTGTGCTCCAAGAGCTAGGCTTTCTCCCTCTGCTCCTCACAGGAATGAACCAACTTATGTGCCCTGGAAATGTGCCCTAGTCCCACCATCTGGGTTCAAATGCTGACTCTGTCATTTACTAGCTGTGTGACCTCTCCACTGCTTAATTTGCTCATCTGTACAATGGGATAAACATAAAACCCGCCTCATAGAGATGTTATAAGGATTAAATGAGTGAAAGAATTTAAAGCACTTAGTATGGCACCTGACCCCCAGCAAATGCACAATAAGTATTAACTACTATTATTATTTTATGTGATTTTCTTTCAACTTTTTCAAGTATTTAAACATAATTTATCTGATGCTTGTTATGTGCCAGGTCTTGTATTTATCTTCTGACGACAAAGATGAGTAAGACATAGTCCCCCTAGGGGTACAGAAACCTTCAATGAAGGCAGAAACAAATGTGTCCCTTGTCAGAGATCCAGGAGAACTGGTTCCAGTCCTCCAGGAACTCACAGGCTGACTACGGGGACAGGTGTATAAGTAGTGGCAATGCAGGGTGATCAGGGCTGTGACAAAGGGAAGCCTGGGGACGGCAGGGGCCCCTGGAAGTGGCCCAAACTGGACGGGGGCTGAGAGGAGCCAGAAGGAACTCGGCTGAGGGAGCTGTTGAGAGACAGGAGTTGCCGATTTTGGCAATTGGCCTTGTGTAGATAGTATGAGCAAAGACTCCCTTGGGGAGGATGGGGAATATCTGGGCTCAATCTTGATTCTCCAGATGTCGGAAAGCCCTCAGGGGTTTGCAAACAGGGAATTATGTTAGAATAATTGTAACAATAACTAATATTTATTATGCACTTATTAGACACTGTGTGCTGTGTGTACACAATCTCATCTAATATCCTTACCACAACGCTGTGAAGTGAGCACTGTCACATCCCTATTTTTCAGGTGGAAAAACTGAGCCACAGAGGCTGAGTTGCCCAAGTTCACCTAACAAGGAAGGGAAGGAACAGACCCAAACCTAGGTGTCTGACCCAAAAGCCCATGCCCTAATCTTTCTACCTGCTGCCTCTGAACTTCCACCTACACAATCATCTTAAAGTTGGAACGAACCTCAGGAACTCCCCATTTTCTCCACCTCACAGATGAGAAAGGGAGACTCAGAGATGGGACTGGCTTTCCCAAGACCACAGAGTGGAAGAGGCAGAGCTGAGCTGGGCAGGTCAGTCTAGGCTGCAGGAGGGGCTTCCATCCTGGGTTCCACAGTCCTGCCACACTGCTGTCACAGTGGTCACCACCGTGCTTGACACAAAACCCAAACTCCTTGCTATGGCCTACAAAGCCCTCGGTGATCAGGGCCCTGCTGACACTCTCCAGCCTCACCTGGTGCACCTACCCCCTCCAGCACCTGGTGGCCCCTGGAGGCCTCTGCCAGGAGTGCTCTTCCAGCCCATCTTCATCTGGTCAGGCTCCTTCTTGAAATTCAGTGAAATGTCGCCTCCTCAGTGAAGCCTTACATGACTGTCCCATCACTCTCGTATCCCTGTTTTATTTTTTCTGTAGCAATTAGGATGATCTGAAATAATCTTTTTTGCTTTCTTGCTTTTGTGTTTGTCTCTCCCAACTAAGACGCAAGCTGCAGGAGAGCAGGGAGCAGCTGTATCTAGTTCGACACGGTATCCTTGAGCCTTGAACAGTGCTGGGCGCATATAGGTGCGCCTTGAGTTTTTGTTGCAAGTATGCCTGCATGTCACCATCTGTGTGTTGATGGTCTGTCCCCTCACCACACCGGTCAGGGGCTGACCCCCGCCCCAGGGCCAACTCCATGTCTGATTCACCTTGGCACTCCCAGGCCCAGCACAGGGTTGGCAGAGAATCAGGCCTGAATGTGTTTGTTGAATGACTGAATGAACAAGGGATAGAGGGGTAATGGCATGAGCACCCTGCTGGGCTCCCTGGAGTCTAAGCCCTTTCTGGTGAGGTGGCCACAAACATTGTCACTGGGCTGCAAAGGAAGTAATAGGGCTCAGGAAGCTGCTAATGAGACAGGGTGGCCTCAGGCCTAGGGCTAACAGTTCCCACCCATTTGCTGGGGAGGAGAAGAGACAAGAGGGGAGGGGAGGAAAGACCTCACACTGGCCCTTGATACCCACCAGCCAGTCCCTGTAGCAGCCAATGCCTTGAAAGCTCATTCTCTAAAGAAGGTTGTGCCACTCTAATTCCAACTCTGCTCTCTGCACCTCTTCTCCCCACGTGGGGGAGGGGGGGCTGCAACCCTCCAGAGGAAGCTCCTTCTCATTCATGCATTGGACAGTAGAGGCGGACAGCCAGCAGCCCTAGCTGAGCCTACCCTAGCGGCAGGGATGACACATCCCTTCTGTGGACCCCCAGAGCCCTCACCTTTCTCCATCACAGCAAGGATTACCTTGTCTTCCCTGTGGGTCCTCCCCTGACTGCCCCTCTGCCTAGGCCCATGGAGTGTACTGAATGAGGGTGAATGAAATAGTCTGTGCACTAAGCCCAAGCCACCTGCCTCACATCCCTGCCTGTGATCACACGAGCGTGTGCCATGAACAGATATACATGGGCACAGAAACAAAATCAACTGCAACCACACAGACTTGTAATATCCCTGCCCGAGCCCATGACAGATGCAGAGGTCCTGCCTCGCGCCCCCAGCTTCTCATTGATCATCCATATCTTGGTACCCCAGCCCCTACTCTCCCCTTCACCACCCGACGCGCACACTGCACAGGCCTGTGCGCCCTGGAGCATCATTTCCCCTCCAGCCCAGGTTCAGTCCTAGGCATCCCTAAGTCTCTGATCTGCCTGTCACCTCCTCCAGGAAGCCTCTGCTGCTTCCCCTGGACCTGCCCCCTCTGGGGCAGGGGCTCGCCTGGCTCATCCCTGCGTCTGCAGCGCCCAGCACTCGGGCGGGCCCAGAGCAGGGTAGTGGAGTGCCCGCTGAGGGAGGAGCGGACCAAGGACAGGAGGGAGGAGGGAGAGGAGCGAGGGGCGGAGGCGGCAGCGGGAGGGAGCGCGCGCGCCGGCGGCGGCCGCCCAGGGCCGGGGCCGCGCGCCCAGCCTGAGCCCGCCCAGCCGCCGAGCGTCACCGAACCTGCTTGAAATGCAGCGGAGGAGCCGGGGCGGGCGGCAGCGGCGGCGGCGGCGGCGGGGGCAGTGGGAAGCCGGGAGCGCGGCAAGGACTCGGAGGGCTGGCGCGGCGCGCGCGGCGGCAGCGGCGCGGGTGCGCGGGCGCGGCGGCCGAGCCCCGGGCCCGCCATGGGCCGCCCCGAGCGGGGCGCGCTCCGGCCGCTGGCGATGCTGCTGCTGCTGCTGCGGCTCCAGCATCTCGCGGCGGTTGCAGAGCCGCTGCACGGCGGCCAAGGTGCGTGCTGCTGGTCCCCGGCCCGGCTCCGCGCCGCCGAGCCGCCAACAAAGCGCGGCGCGGCGGCCGGGGGATGGGGGAGAGCGAGTTGCAGGGGGGTCCCGGACCCCGGGACTGGCGGGGGCGCTCGGGCGAACAGGCTTCTCAGCACCCAGCTGTCCTGGAATTGGCCCTCGGCCCCTCGCCCCCGCGGCTCCCAGCGTTGAGGTCTGCCCCCTGGGCACCCGCTGTTGAGGGATGGATGCAGGGGGTCTGGCCAGCTGAGAACTTTGCGGGGGGGCGGGGGCGGTGGTTCAAGGTTTCGGAGGAGCTGTGTGATCCTCCCAGTTGGGGTCTATTTGACACGCGCGCTCTGCCGCGGCAATGAGCCGGGCGGCTTCTCGGCCTGACAATGCGTTTCGGAGACCCTTGTGCGCAGCGGAGAGAGGGGCTGCCTGCGAGTGGGTGTGCTCACGGCGGGTGTCGCGCGTGTGCGGGGGCTCCTGTGGGCTCTGTCTGCGTGGATCTCTGACTGTGGGTCTTGCGTGCGGTTGAGTGTGTCTGAATGGAGGGTATACCCAAGTCGTGCGACACCCACTGTAAGTATGCGCCTGGTCTCGGCGTGCCACCGAGAGGCCCGCCATCCGAGGAACTCCTGCCACCTTGCTGTCCCTCAGGGTCGAGTGTGCCCGAAGCCCCCGGGGTCTCCAGCATCCCCCTTTTTTTCACAAGGGTAGACCCTTCCCAGGGGGCCTGGGCTGCGGGGTGAGGGGGTAGGGGGAAGCAGGGCTCGAGTCCGCTGATCCATATCACGCTCCCTCCCCCCGCAGGGCCAGTCAAGGAATGCGAAGAGAACCAATTCCGGTGCCGGAATGAGCGCTGCATCCCCTCCGTGTGGAGATGCGACGAGGACGACGATTGCTCGGACAACAGCGACGAGGACGACTGCCGTGAGTGGCGGGCCGGAGGGAACAGTGGGGGGCGCCATGCTCTGCGCGCACGTGGCTGCAGCCGCGATGCGGCCACCTGCGCGGGCCACGCCGCGGGCGCCCGCAGCCGGGAAACCGCCCGGGCGCCACTTCCCTCGGGGCCGGGTAGCGCTCAACCACCCGAAGGGAGCAGGGAAGCAGGCGTGTTCTCAGGGGCCCTGGGGCGGGGCCCAGGTCGGCGTGCCGGGAGGAGGGTTTGCCACGCTGGGGCTGCTGGGCCGGAACTGTGGGCGGGGACGCCGCGGTGCCTGCTAACGTCCACCTTCCAGCGGTACCGACCTCTCGGACTCCCGCTCGGCCCCGCAGGATGCGCGCGTGTTTCAAAGTTCCACGCAGCTCCCGGCCGTACGGCGCTCCTTTTCCTGCTTGGTTTTTGTGAATGAATAGGCTCCCCGGGGTCCCTGATTGGCTGGGCGAGGACCACCCCATAGGCCCCCGTGGCCGGAGTGGCCAATCGCGGGGCGGGCGAATGTGTAGTATTCGGGCGCCCTGGGCGCCGGGGCTCTGTCCTGGCCCCGCCCCGGCCACACCCCCGCGCGCATCCTCCGGCTAGTAGGTGCAGGCGGGGCCCGGGCGCGGTCTTCCGCTGCTTTTCTGCCTAGTCACTGTGAAGACCTTTTTTAGCCCCCCTCCCTAGAGACTGCGCTCTCCTGCTAGCCTGGCCCGGCTATGAGTCATGGGCACACCAGGAAGGAGGGAACCAGGAATAAGAGTTTGTTTCCTGGAAGGGACCCAAGGACCCCGAGGCCACACCTGAACCCCTGACGACTGCCTTTGCTGAGCTTGGTGTGCGCTACTAATTTGGAAGTTCCTTCTCAGGGTTTCTGGTGTCTGTGGGACCGGAAGCTAGTTAGCAGGCAGTTGCCACCCCCAAGGAATGTAGTTCCAGGAACAGAAAAACAGTCTAGGGCAGTCATTCATTCATCTGTACTGAGCACGTGCTACACGCCGGCACAGAGGCACGCTCCAGAACCCGCCGGCCCTGCCTGCCTGGGTGCACAGACGGGCTGAGGGAGCAAGGTGACAGGTGAACAGGTCCACAGCTCACGCCATGTGCAGGAAAACAGAGAGACACTTGGACAAGCACCCTCTCTGTTGAATCCTTGAATTTTTTGACTGTTTGCCAGTCAGTCTCCCCCCTTCACTCTCAGACTTAACCCAAAGTTGGCTCTGTGACTTGGGCACGTAGTTACTCCCGTCTCAGCTTCCTCACCTGGCCACTTGGGCTAATAACTCCTGCCCTGGCAACCTCACGGCACTATTTTGAGGACCAGTTCTAGAAATGTGATTGGAAGTAAGGAGACTAACTTGTGCAAACCACATGTGGTAAGCACTGTGGTAAGTGCCTGTCTTATATAAACTCCTTTAATCTTCACAGCAGTCCTATTTTACAGACCAAAAAACTGAGGCACTGTGCAGTTACTTGCTCTACCGCTACTTAGCTGCTAAGTAGGAGCTTGAACATAAGCATTTGACTCCAGAGTTCTTAGCCTAATCATGACCTGGTACTGCTGAATTTGTGAAAATGGCTGTGCCTGGGTAAAATATTATCGTGAGTTTCATCATTGGGAATTGTTTTCTTGGTCCCCTTAGAGTGGGCGTACTGAGGAGGAGGAAGGGAAATGGAAACCGCGTTTCTAGGCTGGCTATACCTTATCTCCCTAGCTCTTTATAGCAGCAATTCTGTGAGGGTGGCTGTGAAGAGCAGAAGCTCTTCTTGCTTTGTAAATAAGGGTGCTGGCTCAGAAAAGTTGAGTGATTTGCCCAGGGCCACACAACTCAAAAATGACAGAACTTGGTCAGGATCTCTGCCTGCCTTCTAGTTCAGGGGCCCCGTCTGCTGCGATGGGGAGTGTGATGTGGAAGGACCCTGCAGTGTGATCTGGGGGCTGGAAAGCCTTGCTCTACATGTTGGGCCTGTTTCATTTCAGCTCCATGTGAGGCTTTGGGCAGGATGGAGGTATGAAGTAGCCAAGTGGCTGGGTGACCCCAGGTGGGGCCAGGAGAGGTCTGGTGGCCAATCTGGGCTCCCACACTGGTTCTGAGGAGGATGGGGTAGAGTCATTGGCAGTTATTGACCAAAAGCAAATGATGTTGAGGGCTTGGAGTGGAAAGAATGGTGGCTTTGTTGATAGTACCAGGTATCAGTCACATGTGGCTTGACTTTTCTGAGCTTGTTTCCTCCTCTACCAAACAGGGTAGCTGTCCCTCCATCATTGGTTACATCCACAGACAGTCTTCACACAGGGCTTCGGAGAGAAGGGAGTGGTGGGGTGTTTCCACCTATGCAGTCTTTTTTTTTTTTTTGAGACAGAGTCTTGCTTTGTTGCCCAGGCTAGAGTGAGTGCCGTCGAGTCAGCCTAGCTCATAGCAACCTCAAACTCCTGGGCTTAAGTGATCTCCCTGCCTCAGCCTCCCGGGTAGCTGGGACTACAGGCATAAGCCACCATGCCTGGCTAATTTTTTCTATATATATTAGTTGGCCAATTAATTTCTTTCTAATTATAGTAGAGATGAGGTCTCGCTCTTACTCAGGCTGGTTTCGAACTCCTGATCTCTAGCAATCCGCCCGCCTCAGCCTCCCAGGGTGCTAGGATTACAGGCGCACCTATGCAGTCTTTAGGAATGGACTCCTAGTAGCCATGACGGGACACTGAAGAAATGGGGTGAGGCTTTGCATGGCTGTGTTGGGGCAAAATGCTTGAAAATGTTCTTTCCTCAGCCCTTCCTTCCCCGTCTGAGGGGTTCCCCCCACCACCTTTCTGGGCCACCTTGCCCAGACTGCATTTCTTTGACTTCTTCTCCCCTCAAGGCTGATGGCTTCTCTCTGAGCAGCCTCCCTGCCTCAGACCTGACCACCCCCTTTGACACTCCACCCTGCAGGAGGGCCTGGGCTGCCCCACCTCTGTACCTCTCTGGGCCTGCAAAATGAAGTTGGGATTTGTAGGTAAAGTCTGTGTGAGGCAGAATGAGCCCAAGCTCCCAAAGGGGCCAGAATGCCCCCCCCCAATACCAGGAGGCTGATGGAGGCTGGAAGGAGGGAGCTATTGTTTTGAGGAGGCCAAGGAAAGCTTCCTGGAAGAGGAGACAGCTGAACTAGGCCTTGAAAGAGGGTAACTAATACCATTTCCTTAAATGTATTAGTTACCATCTTTGCAGGGCTTAACATTTTTAAATAGGTGGTATGGTCTCTATATTAGAGAGGATGCTGAGGCTCAGAGAGGTGAAGTGACTCCCCAGAGTCACAGAGCTCCTCAGGGTTGGAGCTGGAGCTCAAAATAAGGCCTTCTAAGTCCTGATCCTCATCCACAGTGGGTGGGACTTGGCCTTTGGGAGACACAGATAGAGCTTGCAGGATGGGGAAGGGAAGAGCTCATGGGGCTTTAGTTCCTAGCTCAAAGGACCTTCAAAGTGGAGGAAGGAGCTGGAAGCTGAAGGGCCAGGCCCAAGGAAGCCCAGGGGGGAGCTGGCCAGGGGAATTCGGTGGGATTCCTGGACCTGGGTCACGTAGGCAAGCTGGCCCCTTGGCCTCAGTTTCCTGTTGCTCCCTACTGTCTGGGGGCAGAGGCAAGGATTCTGGTCTTAGGCCTTTGCTCCCTGAATAACCCCACCACCACCCATTAACACTTACTGCGCACTTGCTATGGACCAGGCATTGTGCTGACATTTTACATGCATCACCTTGTATTCTATAAAACGAGACAACCCTGTGATATACCTGAATTATTCTCATTTTATAAAGGTACAGAGAGGTTAAGCAATTGGCCCAATGATATATGGTTTTTAAGTGAAACTGCTGGGGTGTGAATGCAGGTACCCAACTATGGAACCTATGCTGTCTCAAGTACTAGCTGGCGACCTGGGGCAGGTCCTCCCAGGCCTTCTTCTCCACCTTGAGATGACATCTTAAGGCTCTTCTGCCCCCACCTCCCCATCCCTCGCCATTCCCCGTTTAGGAAGAATTTTGAGCTTCTCTTTGTGGAAAGGCTGGAGAGATAGGTGGGCCAGTGGTGCGCTCATGTACCTCTACTTCGTCCAGGCTTCTTTCAGCTCGCTTGTTATTCCGGTCCCTGTCACTCCTCCATCCAAAGTTTAATAAAGAGTGGCTGCAGCAAGGTCACCCACAACCGAGAGTTCATTAGCTGGACAAGGCCAGGCTGCAAGAGTGCTGGCTTTGCTGGGAATCGGCCTTGTAAATAATTAAAGCTCGGCCACAGCTCCCAGCTGGTGCCGTAGCCTACGCCTGGCCTGTGGTGTGCGGCTAGACACGCACTCCTGACACCGGGCACAGCTTCATCACCTTTTGTGGATGGAGTCATCTGACAGACAGGGCTGCTCTTCTCTGAACTTCAGTGTCCTCATCTGACCGGGTACCTCCACCGTTCAGAGCCCCTCCAGGGGCTCCCAAGTACCCAGAGGATCAAGTCAACTTAGACTCCTCTGCACTTGGCATTCTGTGACTGGCTCCTATTAACCACTCCCCTCCAGCCTCTTCCTGTGAGCTTGGGACACCAAACCTTAGCATCTGTCACATTCTCCACTTCCTGCTGCTTCTCACCTCCAGGCCTTTGCACGTGCCAATCCATCTGCCTGGGATGCTCTTTCTGCTCCCTCACTGGCTACATTCTTTTTGTCATCTTAGGAGATTCAGTGCAGGTGTCACCTCTTCCAGGAAGCCTTCCCTGACACCTCCTCTCCCCCAGGCTGTGCAATACAGGAGTTGAGATAAGGGACTTAGGGACCCATGTCAAAATCACAGCTCAATGGGGCCCTGAGCCAAACACAACTGGTTTTACATCCCAGCTGTCACCTCCTGGCTGAATGGCCTTGGGGGTGATAATTGTTCCTCCTCAGACAAGTTATGGAGATTAAATGAGGTGATGTGCTGGTAGGCAGTAGGTGTTCAGTGAATGGCAGTGGCTATTATGATTGTTCTTGGAGAAGTTTCACAGAGCTCTCTA